CAGAAACAAAAAATAATCCAAATAAAGCCATATCATAGCCTACTAGAACATGTCAAAGAAATTAGTTTCATCTAGCTATTTACAGAGAATAAGTTTTTCATTTTTTTTTTTCTCGAAAAAGGTCGGTGATTCGAAAAAACTACAAGAAAACAAAAAGTGTCTAAATAAGTTAGAAACATTACTTTGTTTTTTAGAATCTACCAGCGGCGTACCACAAAAAAGTTCAGCGGCAGAAAGAGGGCATGACCCCTGATAGAGTATCACCCTGTAGATTCTGGCAAACGTTTTACATGTACAATCATTAAGCTCCTATTGTGTAACCTAAATTTCAAATTTGAGCTAAATCCCTCAAAAATTGCAGGAGCTGTGAAGAAAAATCTAAAAAAAAAAAATTGAAATTTCAACACCCTGTAGATCGGTAACCAAGCGTGTGCAGACCTATGTGTATTAGAAATTTTAGTCATAAAAAAAACCAAAGAGAAGGGGTTGATTCCGTTTCTACATGATATTTAGGACACCCTCTGTATTGTGTGCAAATGGCAAATGCAAAATAATAACATAAAACTCAAACTCACTATTGTAATAATACAGGTATTCTTTCGATCTGAACAAACTGATTGAACTCACTTGAAGTTTGTTTCAAACAATAATTGTCATACGGTTTTACAACGATTCCATTGGCCCTAACTGTTTTTTTGACGCCTGATATACAAACCTCGTGATTACAATCAGTTTGTAACTTTATTCAGATCGAAAGAATCTGGATGTATATGTAAGAGCAAAAAAAAAAAAAAAACAAATTGTTGTATGTTAGAACAACAAAAAAGCTACCTGGTAAAGTAGATGGAAAAAGTATTATTTATTAAATTAATTCTATTACATTTTTGAATTTATTTGGGGGAGGGGCGGGCAATTGCCCCCTTTGCCCCCCTCCCTCCTTGATATGCCACTGCTGAAGTCTATTTCTCAACCCTTATATCTCAAAAACCCTAATACGTACAATAAATGGTCCCATTTGAAGTTTGTTCAGAGTTAAATCCTCTACGACATAGCAAAAAATTGGCAAAATCCATAGAACCCAATAATCTCATTCCTTTCAAATTTCAATAGCATAGTTAGGGACTTCCACAGTAAAACAGATTTTTCAACCAGTTCTTTCCATCATTTATTTTTGTTGGAGGAGTTTATGTGCATATATGTTTCTTTGCTTGATTCTGAAGTAATATCCATAAAGTCGAATAAGTATCCCGTTTCAGCCCTGAATGTCCCTCGGGAATTGACAATAAAAAATACGTGAATAATGAAATAATAAATAATGAAATATCTAAGTACATATTTTTATGAGAAACAACTTTTGTTTGAAATATGTATTGACGATTACCCAATAGGTGTCAATTTTTGCAATTTTGATGATAAAAATAGTTTCTCTGTGCGAGACTGATTTATGGGGATTTTTAGTGTAGGTGACTCATAACTCATCATTTTGAATCGATTTGTCAAAGTCTGATGGGTTGCAAGATAGTCGACTTGCCATTTACTCCTTTAATTGAAGGCATTTCGAGAGCGAGGTACACGCCCATAAGCACTATCTTTTTTCAGATTACCTTTATTATCTCAATTAATTTCTGGTTATGCAATTTGAACCAAACACGCGCCAAAGCGGATGAGATAAGTTGACATTTCTATTCTGACAGCTTTCTTTTTGTTACAAACAGGATTCAAATTTACTGTGTTTTAGTTTGAAAATGTCAATATCATAATCGATATCGAACCTCACTGGGCAAAATGTGAATGAATTTGTTATGAAATGTTAGCAAAAAAAGATAAATTTCTTCCCCAATTTGAACCCCGAATTTACACCCAGACCCTAGATAGACCGAAATCAAAATATTTCAACTAAAATCAATTTTAATTATGATGGTAACCCATGATGTGAATTTGTGCATCAAAATCGAGATTGAGATACTACTTTCACAATCAAAATCAAATATTTTCTGTTGCGTTCACAAAATTAGCCAAATCGAGTACCTAATTAAATAATGCAAAAACTGTAGCGCTGGAAAGGATAATGTTCTTGGTAAATATGTATAATTATTTGTTTTTGAAAAAACTCAATTTCATGTTCGTGATTCCATATCAAGATACCTATATATTTTTTTTTAAATCGAGACAAAGTCACATAATGGATGAAAAAAGATAAAATAACAAACTGGACTACGAAAAGGCACGAAGCCGTCAAGACGCGACCAGAGGCATCGCAATAAATAAAACTGAACCATTTCTTGCCTCTTACATCTTACATCAGAAGGTCATACCATATAAATGACATCGCTCTTTATCATCGATTCTTTTTTCGTCTTGCAATAAGGCTTACGTAAGGGCGTGAAAAATATTAATTTTTGAACCACATGATTAATTTCTCATGCACCTCATCCAATTTTGAAGAATTGATCCATATAGCAACTCTGGGTCAATGTATATAGACATGTAGCAAATATTTGTGATGGAAGTTCTAAGGTACCAAAGAAGAACATTTGAATTTATATTTGTTATTTTAGGAGTTTCTTAGCAGGAATACAAAAAAAGTTTTAATTACCAATTATTTTGTGATACTCTTGATATTAATTTTATATTTTATCGAAGCAAAAAGTAATCCATTTATGCTTCAAGTTAAAACTAAAAAGGAAAGCTCAATAAACGTATTCAAAAAAAAACTCCGCCTTGTCCATTGGTATGTATGGGATGGTCGTATTTTTATGAAATTATGAAGAATTAGCAGTTAAGCATTTCACATTGAAAGCCAATTACCGATCAGGAATCTGACCAAAAAACTAGCTCAGTTGACGTTCGATTCCACTTATGGACATAAGTAATGATCAGTCTTCTCTTTCCTATGACAAAATACAGCAATTCTAATGAAGACAATTTACAATTATGTACCTACTCGGTCATTAAGACTCAGTCGAATGGAATTACCTTTAATTATACTAATTAATACGGAGGTTTATAGATGGCTGTTCATTAAATTTGATATTACAAATCAATACGTTATCTGATAAATTAACGACATTCCTATTAACTTTATAAAATATTTTGTGTAAGCTTAAAAATATGTATTAAATTCATAAGAACATAATACAAAATAATAAATTTGAATCGAAAATAAAACTTATGACCAATACGATACAATTAAAATTTTCACCTACAGTTTCAAGATAGGTTAGATGCCTATTTTTTTTTCAAATGTTTATGTTAGCTTAATATAAATTATTAAGGTATAAAATGCGAAATCTAAAGGCCGGTTTACACTTTGACTAGTAGCAAGTGAAGGCGTGTAGTGCTAGTGTTCAATTGTCGAATTGTAAATGGATCTGTCAAGTGATTGGTGTTAAGTGATAAGTGCAAGTGAATCAAATCGTGTTCTATTTTTCTGTTTAGTAACACTTAACATGTCAAATTAATATTTGACACTAAACACTTGCAGTTAACAAAATGTAAACCGGCCTTAACGGTGAAGGCGGCTGTAAAAAAATAGGCAATGATTAGTCAGACATGGTAGAGATAACAAGATGTACAGTGGGAATCATTGCAATTGGCACACACTCTTCCAACATCCCTCATATTAAGTCAAAATTCTAACCAATAAATGTATTTAGGGCAGCGGTGTACGTGATATTTTGAGCCCTGTCAGCCCATTTTCTCTTTAAATTCACGATCGTTCTACTGCCAGAACCTAGGGCAAGGGCAACTGCTTGAATTGTCTTACCTTGTGCTATCCTTTCAATTGGCTCTTGCCTTTTCGTCAATGCTAAGCATATGGTAAACCAGTTCAACAAAAAAAATATTAATTTTTTTCTTTAACAGTTTATTAAAACTATTATGTTCACCACTGATTTATCAATCTGACAAAGATTTTGACATTACCTGTGTGTCAAAGAAGTAAAATTTTGTCACATTACGGGGGATGTTTATAAAATGTGTGCAAATTGCAATGATTCTCACTGTACCTATTATGCTAATATATAGTTATCCGGTTACTGTCCAGTATCCAGCGAAGTAATTCGGTATTTCACAATAAGCGATCGGATAGCGCACATCAGCAATATATTGCTCCAAAAAGAATGTATTGCTCCCAGAAAAGTTATCATGAACGAAAAGTGGATGATTCAATATTTCTTTTCCAGTATAAAATTGAACAAAAAATGTAGATCATAATATTATCGAAAATTATTTTGAAAAAATGTATACTAAAATTTATATCGGTTATGTTATTTTTGCTCAATCATTTTTGTTTCTATTTAAATTGACGATAATTGAATTTTACTGCGTAGGTTGTCGCAAGTAACGGTTCACACATGTCAACCAATTATTTTACTAAAAACCAATTACTGCACTAGATCGATCACATAAAATTAATGTTTGTGTAATACTTATGATTCCAACATATTAACGAACTAAAACTATGTTGGCAATTTTTAAGCATGCAGAAAATATTACTTTGAATTGAGGAGATTTTCTTAATACCTACATGAAAATTAATTTCCCCAAGTGTTCAAAGTGGGGAAGTACCTAGTTGCATAATTTGGTTTTAATAAAATCGCATATCAGAGCCGAGTAATTATTTTCTTACTACAAATGTTAAAAATAACTTAAAAATCTTTAAATCCGGGCATGTGGCAACAAATATTTTAATTTTAAATAAATCAAAGATAATAAATGCGAGATGGCTGCATCTGGTCAAAGTATCTAAAAAGCAAAGTTCCATTATTGCCTTGCATTAAGGCAAAATGCCATTTCAGTAAAGGCTTATTTATTTTTAGCTCATTTTCTAATCTTATGAGCCAACAATATTAAGTGGATTACCTTGTTTTAAATGTCATTAAATGATTAAAAATATATATAAACATTTGTAAATTTTGTGGTCATTTCTTTTGTGTGTGGATCTTTTAATTACAAATTGAATTTAGCTTGCCATTGCCACTTTACTATTTTGTTTCCAGAGTATTGTTATGTTGATGTTTAGAGAAGAGAAGAGCCCGGAAGATGAAATAAAAGCTTGGCAATTCTGGCACGGTCGTCAGCACTCGGTGAAACAACGAATTTTGGATGCCGGTAAGTGATTAAATCTTTTTTTACTACTAACCTTAGAAATAGTGTTTACTCAATCCATTTTTCTACCCAACAATTGTTTATTCTGAGCCTAGGTAACTAAGGCTTGAAATCAGAATGCTCAATTAATTCTCCATCTATATAGTAAAAAATAATCTCTCCATCTCTCCTCTTGAATATGCCATTATAATGTAAATCCTTTCTATTTATTAGTGCGTCATGCGTCTCAGGAAATAAAAGCACTCGCCATGTAATGGCCCACTTGTTAACCTAAAGAATACATTATAGTGAATTAGACATAATATACTCGGATCTACATTGGATACATTTTTAAAAAGCGTAATATTGCAATTACGCCATGTACGTCAAAGTTGACAGGTGATATAAGGTACATACCTATCTACTTGATTACTTCTCAGCTGCCCCGATATCCGTTATTGATCCGTTTCAAATTGAAGATTTTCAAAAAGAACTTCTTTACGCTGCTCAATTCTGGGGCAGTTGTTGCAATGAACTGGGCCTGGTTGCGTGAATATGGCATCTGCATCTGCGGTGTTATGAAGTTCACTAGAATGACGTTGGATTTGAAAATCGTACTGTTGCAACTTTTCCATCGAAGGCGGCAGTGGCAGTCACCAAAATGAGAGCGGGATCTCAGCCGTACTCCACAGTCACATTTAAAATGTCCTCTTTTCCGCACCGGTGTTATTCGGTGCTCCCTTACAAGTTTCCTTGATTGCTTCTGGTAACAACCTTTCGTATTTCTCCCAGAAGTTTACTTATTATTTCTCCAATTTCTCCTATTGCATTTTTTTTACTTGTATGGACACGACTCTCATCTTTGATTTAGATATCTTAGGCCACTTCAATTTCTAGGGCATTGATTAGAGCATCGCTGCTATTTGGTGCCTTGGTAATGAGCAGCATTCTCTGAAAATACATTGATGAAATGCTTGGTTGCTTATTCTCGCATTTTCGATAGCTCATTGTTGTCTCCTAGTAAAGCTGCTGTCGGTGTTGATCCCCATATTGACGCTCTAACGCATCTACAAGTGCACCATAATTTGAGAAGCTCTCTAATAGGTCTAATCCAGAGCCATGCAATGCATTAATCAGGCCTGTAGCCATAAAATCAGAGCCCCAGCCATTAGCCATTGCTCGTACTGACCCTGCATATCGCCCATGATATCTGACGATTATTTGGTGGGGGTTTAATTTTAATACCATTTGCAGGCAAAGCTAAGATATCTCCTAATCTCAAGTCACATCCCAACTTTTTAATTTTCCATTTTGTGGCGAAAAGTTGCAACTTTCTGATGAACAGTTCCAACTTCCTCATAATTAACGTTAACATATTCACGTACGGTTTGAATCAGTTCTTCCAGTCTTCATTGGTGTCCGCTTTTCCGCATCAATATAATAGGTATTAAAAAAAATTTATTCCTTATGTCGGCATATCTCGATCTGCGTGAACGTAAAGTGTCATTAGAAACATTTTTTCTTATTACCTTGTTTCCATAACCTAATAAATAAGATAATTTTTCGCGATGGCGAATTTGAGATTGTGTTAATAGCAGCAGAGCGCAAAGCCAAAAATTGTCGTAAATGTATATATCTACATACTTTGATAAGTTTATGCTATTATGTATTTAAAAGCTATGGCATGATATAATATGTTATACTGATTGTTCTCTACTTTACATAAATATTAGTATATTTCTAATTCTATAAGCACATTGCCATTGCATGCACTAGTAGGTATCTGTAGGATAGTTTATATGGATATAAATTTAGTTAAAGTGAATAATGTAATTTTATAAATAGCTCCACATACATGGAAGAACAAAATAGTATTGATACAACCCACGGTTTTACCTACTACCCACGTGTAAAATTTCCAATAACTGAAAATGTTAAAAGATATTTAAAGTACCCACAGTGATACAACACCCACTGTTACTGTTACATATTACAAACAATTATTATGTATGTAGTTTTTTCTTTGGGCGGAATACTAATTTGGTATAAAATAGAATATAAATTTGAATATTTCTTTATATTTCATGAGATACCTATCTGTGCTTAGATTAAATTTATTCTAGTTAATTTTAAATTATATTTAATGGAATTAAATTAGAAATTGCTATACCTAGGTATGCCTAAATAAAAATAGACATACCTACCTATAATACCTATCAACTGTTCAGACCAAATCAGACATACATTTTTTTTCAAATCTTATTTATCAATGTATTTTCACACATATTGATGTTTATTGACCACTATACCATAATCTTTGCACATCTGTTTAAAAACAAAAAATAATATGTAAAATGTTTTTTTTTTCATGCTTACAAGTTGTAAATGAACTTGGGTGAGTTTACTTATAGATTTAAGTAGGAAATCTATTAAAATTTGTTATGTTAATCACATTATTTTATTATTTTTAAGACACCAAGAATAGCGTTGGACTGGTAGGATGTATAGAAGAAGTTGCGCATAATGCGATTGCGATATATTGGAATCCTATGGAAAGTCCAGCCAAAGTGAGTTATACATTGCTTATAGTTAACTTTATCAAATAATCATACTATTCTATTTTCAGATTAACATAGCTGTTCAATGCCTAAGCACGGATTTCAGTAGCCAGAAAGGTGTGAAGGGCTTGCCATTACATTTACAAATTGATACCTATGAAGATCCCAGGGATACAAGCGTCTATCACAGAGGATATTGTCAAATTAAAGTTTTCTGTGATAAGGTAGGTACCAAATCAAAAGATAGACACCAGCGTGAAGTTGGTGGCAAAAGATAGTAGCAACATTTTCCGAAGATACCGGAACGCCCAGCGATCGACATAAATTGTATTTTACCTCACTGGACTAAGTTTTTTAAAATGCTACTACAGTTACATATCACCAACAACAACCTATATTCTTGAAAAAATTATATTAAAGGCTGTATCGAGAGAGGGTTTTTTTTTGTCATGTTATTTTGTTTTTTGAAATATTTCAAAATTTGCTCGTTTCAACAAATTCATATTTAAAACACTGTTCGCTTAGGTGCTGAATCAACTGAAAAAAAAAATCATCCCAGCAACCCGGGACAAAGGGTGCAACTGAGGGTAAAAAACATATTTTTTGAAATATCTCAAAATCTGCTCGTTACAACAGATTCATATTTAAACCACGGTTAACTTATGTGCTGATTCAATTTTTTTAAAAATTTCTTCCCCAACAACCCGGGACAAGGAGTGCAATAACTGAAGGATGTAAGCATATTTTTTGAAATACCTCAAAATCCGCTAGTTTCAACAGATTCATATTTTAACCATGATTAACTTAGGTGCTGATTCAATTTTGAAAAAATAATGGAAATCCCCAGCATCCCGGGACAATGGTGCAAAATAGGATTGAAAGCATATTTTTTGAAATATCTCAGTTGCACCCCCTGTCCCGGGTTGCTGGGGATGAAATATTTTTTTTTTAATTGAATCAGCACCTAAGTTTTTCGTGGTGTAGATATAAATCTGTTGAAACGAACAGATTTTGAGATATTTCAAAAAATATGCTTTCAACCCTATTTTGCACCCCTTATCCAGGGTTGGTGGGGATGGAATATTTTTTTAAAATTGAATCAGCATCTAAGTTAATCGTGGTTTAAATATGAATCTGTTGAAACGAGCATATTTTGACATGTTTCAAAAAATATACTTTCTAACCTATTTTGCACCCCTTACTTGTCCCGGGTTGCTGGGGATGAAATATATATATTTTTTTTAATTGAATCAGCACCTAAGTTAATCGTGGTTTAAATATGAATCTGTTGAAACCAGCAGATTTTGAGATGATTCAAAAAATATGCTTTCAACCATATTTTGCACCCCTTATCCTGGGTTACTGGGGACGGAATATTTTTTTTTTTTAAATTGCATCAGCACCTTAGTTAATCGTGGTTTAAATATAAATCTGTTGAAACGAGCAGATTTTGAGATATTTCAAAAAATATGCTCTTATAACCCTCAGTTGCACCCCTTGTCCCAGGTTGCAGGGGATGAAATATTTTTTCAGAACCCTAAGTTAAACGTGGTTCAAATATAAATCTGTTGAAACGAGCAGATTTTGAGATATTTCAAAAAATATGCTCTTATACCCCTCAGTTGCACCCCTTATCCCAGGTTGCTGGGGATGAAATATTTTTCAAAACTGAATCAGCACCTAAGTTAATCGTGGTTTAAATATAAATCTGTTGAAACGAGCAGATTTTGAGATATTTCAAAAAATATGCTTTCAACTCTATTTTGCACCCCTTGTCCCGGGTTGCTGGGAATGAACTTTTTTTTTTTAAATTGAATCAGCACCCAAGCTAACAGTGTTAATATAAATCTGTTGAACGAGCAAATTTCGAGATATTTCCAGAAACAAAATAACATGGCAAAAAAATCCATCTCGTATACCCCTTCATATAATTTCCCCAAGAGTATGGTTTTTGTTTGGTGATATTTAATCCGGTGTTTAAGCATAGTTAAATTTAACTATTGTCATTGCACTTTTCGATTTATGCAACCAAAATAAACCCTCGTAATGAAAAAATAACTACCTGAAGGACACAGTTAAAAAAGAAAAAAATAATAAAAAGTGATATTAATACCCACCAATTTAAACGGACGCCAGAAGATTATGACGTCACCGCCCGACCGTGCAGAGAATCATCAACAGATGGCGCCACTGAAAGATCTTCCTTTTTGTTATCAAATAATAGATGCCGCTTGGAGCTTCTTGGAGATCACTGTACTTGGAGACCCAAAATGCCTGTCCCTGCCTAGCCGAGGTATCCTTTTACAGGGATGGAAACAGTTTTCACTGAATTTCATGAAAATGTATAACAAAAATATTATTCACTGAACATTGTACTAGAGATATATACCAAGAAATAGGTGGATTTTCAATATTTTTGGCCAGATTTAATTAATCCCAGGAATTTGTCACTGCAAATTGTTGCAATATTTTCACGGCATTCAGCGTAAAAACTTATTTTAACCCTGAAAAACGATACCTTCGTCCACCCTGTAGGAACACAGCACTTTGTGACCAATAGCGGCATTGTTTATGTTTTTTTTTTCAAAGTCAATGTGGTGGTAGATATCAGAACAGCTTGTGGTATTTACTTCAATTTTGTTTTTTTTTTGTCGTCACTGATTTCATGGATGTAAACAAGTTGACTTGATGATGACGTGATTCACAGCTGTGTTCACAGTGAACAGTGACAGAACAGATGCAAAATGCTACAGTAAACTGTAAACTTTATAAAAGACAGTGCGCCATCTAGTGGTATTGTGTGGTACTGCGCCTCTGGCGGTCCATAACGTCACGCGCTCCTTTACAGTAAATTTCAAATTATGAAATTTAATAAAAAAATTTAAAAGTTAGGGATAACTTTTGGACAAAATAAAAAAACACGGGTTTCCTAAAAATCGATGTTGATTAATATTACGCAATAAAAAAAGGCTTAAACACCGGATTGTAGTAGAATTTTAAAAATCTAAGTCGAGTGAGGTAGGATACAATTTATGTCGTTTAAAATATGACCCGACGCCCCTGCGAGTATCTTCGGAAAATTTTGCTACTATCTTTTGCCAAAACTTCACACTGGTAAGATAGACTGGACATATACCTGCCTTTCATTGTGGAAAAATAACCATTGGATTCAACAGCATTTATTTCAAGATTTCACCTTTTCTTGCTTTGCTTCTCGCAGAATATGAATAACTTCAGTAAATTTCATGTAGGTACCTATTGAATATACCTAGGTAAAAAAAAATATTCCATTCCTTGACACTGGAAAATCATCGGAAGAAACATATGATCAAATTTGTCCTAATATCTTTGCTCTTTGCATTTCATGAAAATATTCCTATAAGTATATTAAATACTTTTCAGAATGTAATGTGACAATTACAGTTCGTATCCTCATTCCAGTGCGTTTTAAAGTTCACTAAATGATAGAAAGAAACAAAAATTTATATTATAATTTTTCTTTGCTACATTGACTTCATGTAATTTTTTATTTTTCTTGTGGGTTTTGTCGTCGTCAATGTAGTATTTCCCCAAATTCCTCCAATTTCTTTGGCATAATCAAATATCTCTGTTAATTACCAAAGGCTTAACAGCCAGAATCCTAATATCGTCCTTTTTTCTGTGACGGCGAAAAAGCAGATTCTTTGGGCATGTTTTAGTACTTTATCGTAATATGATTTTTTTTGTGTTCTGTCCCTAAAAATTCATCTGACCCACTCAGACTTAGCATCGAGCTCAACATCATCTTTACCGAAGATGTCAGATAATCTGAAATTGGTTTAAAATAACCTTCGATTGCACAAACGGTTTGTACCCTCAAGTTATTGACCCAATTAGATGAGGTGTTAGGAGGAAACTGATAAAAAAATCTTTATACACAGCTAGGGTTCAGGGAACATTTTCAAGAACCTACGTGTATGAAACTCATCGCTCGAAGTTCAACTGTAACTGAATTAATGAGGGTTCGCCAGACAGTCAACAATCAAAACTTTGCCAATATAAATTCTTGAGCTTATTATGGATTATTCAATTTTTTCCCATCAAATGACATTTTTAGAGTAGGCCTTGGATTGTGCAGGAATGTGGCACTGTTTGTTTTAAAAATACAATAGGTACAATCCGGTTCTATAATATAGAAAAAATAAAATCGTACATTAAATAGGGATTTCACAGAGCTGTCCTCATCCCAAATGGCTCACAATCTATTATACATAATGCTTAGAAGCATTTGGAGAAATTTGGTAGGTGCCATCAATCATCAGTTTTTTGTTTATTCAAATCTCTTGTTACTCACATTATTTCAAGTCTTACGTTATAGACTTGAAAATAACAAAAATAAAATAATATTTATTCTTAAAAAAAAGGTATAAGTACATTTTATTTCCTATCGACTAGATGAAATATAACAAATACATAAAGGTCCATTCTTCTGTTTCTGATATTCACAAACGTCTTGTTCCAAACTTCTTTTTGTATACTTAACTTAAAATTAAAAGAATATAATAATGACAAAGTCACCTCAATATTTTCCCGTTGTAGTATAACATACCCGGGTTCGTTCAGCAGGATTGAGCGGTGTGAAATTTTATTATCTCTTCTTTTAACAAATCTTCTGAAAAACGAAATGAAAAACAAATCGGACCTATGTTGTGGAAAATTACTCAATTTTACTTACTTGACATGCGCCCGACATAGCAAATATTAGGGAAATTTAAGGGAAGTTGTGACATGTAAAATAAACGAAAAATTTGTGGAACGTCTATCTCGACCTGGAACTAAAATTTCAATTGCACGCACCACATTCAATCAACACTACCTATATTCAATAATACTGAAGAGTTTTTGGTTAGTCAGTTTCACCAGTAGGTACAGAGGTCCCGTACGGGAAGCTACTTAGCTATACTTGTTTTTGAGCCAATATCTCTAGATTGATTTTTCAATTTGTTTGCCAGGATATTCACTCGTTATCGGGTAGGAAAATATTGGTAGATTCAACAAGGCCCCAATGTATGCTCTGAATACCAAAAATTAAAATCCCAGCACAAAAGACAGCACATCATTTCTTAGGTTTTATTAATTTACTGTTTATCTGCGTTGTTTACAGTATGAAAAGAATTTTGTTAAATACATGAACAATACACATGTTATAAAAAATGTTATAAACAAACAAAAAAACATAAAAATGGAAACATGATACTTATATAAATTGAACTCTCAAAAACAAAATAACATTTATTCAACTGACCTGTGAATGCTCCTTATGAACACAAACTAATCACAAATTGAATTGAACAATCAGTTTAATACAAAATAGAAATTGAATAATGAACAATGGCAGACAACCTTCTTCTCTCTGGTCTAGTCTCTCATCCTCTATCTCCTCTTCGGTACTTTTTTGTGTGGCGCATCTACGCTCGCTCCTACTCGACAGCGCATACATGGTTGCAACATATATATACCATTTGTTTTTCTATAGTATCTAAACGTTTTAAAAATTTAAGATTTGAAAAAATAATATTGCAAATAGGTGGTTTTCTACACCGTTTGACTAAATTTTATTTATTTTTTCTAAATTACTTTATCAAATGTTCCCAAAATCACTCATAAATGACTAAATAAACCCAAAATTTAACAAAACATTTGTTAAGCCTCATAATCTAAAATTAATAACTGCTGAAACGAACCTCAGTCTATCGACCAAAAAGTTCACTGAAGAATTACTTGCACTCGTTTCTGGTTCACACATGCTCAACGGCCATTTTGTATAGTTGCTGGGTTTAAATAAAGTTGCCACATGTCAAAAAAAAATATTGCAAAATATGCATACTTTAGCAAAGTCACCTGGATTGGTAAAGTAACACCGCTTTATGGCACTGGGAAATCCAGCGAAAAATAGGATTGGAAATTTCTCTTGATAGATAACTCTTTGCCATTCGAGTAGGAACAAATTTAATAACCTAAAATCAAAATCTTTGCGCTGCTAGGTTATCAGGACCTTGTCAAATCATCAAATCAATATAGTGAGGAATCTTATTTTGCCTTGATTGCATTACAGTTGTGAAACGGATTATGTTTTAAGGTTAAAGACACGACACCACTGTTAAAGAGTGTTTTTGTGCTAAAGGAGGACCATTCATTTGTTATACGTGCGAGGCCTAGAGATCAGGAACTTCTGTTGAAGGATGGGCTATTCTTTTTGGCACAATTTTATCCTATAGTTGATCTATTTTGAATATCAATGAATTTATTTGTCACAATAAAGCATTTTTGTGTCTTGGTCTTTTTTGACTTTAAATCAAAAGAGGAATAAGAAAGAAACATTTGCAGTTTGTAGCAAATATTCCATTTATAGAGAATCTATCATTGCTGTAGTCCCACATGTATACATAGGTATAAAATTCTTTTACCAACATTTTAATATGAATGTTTGTATATACCTTTGTACGTATTTTTCAACTTTTGAAGGGAGCTGAAAGAAAAACTCGTGATGAAGAAAGACGCGCAGCGAAGAGAAAAATGACAGCAACCGGTAGAAAAAAGTTGGACGAGCTATATCACCCTGTATGTGAAAGATCGGAATTCTACGCTATGAGTGACCTTACAAAACCGCCAGTCTTCTTTTCGCCGGCGGAAGACATCGAGAAGGTGAATATTATTGCATAAATTATAAAATATAACTTTTGATATCCATTTTAGCTTACGTCAATGGAACTCCAAGGCTTCTATGCTCACGAATCAGATGGTTCTCTATCAGGACCTGTTGATCACGTAAAATCTGGCTCGCCGTTCTTACTACATACAGCTTCTAAGCCTCCTACTACACCAACGCTCAAATTTCACAATCATTTTCCACCTGAAGCAGATAAAAAAGATAGCATTTTAGATACTAGTTTAACAACAGATAGTTCAGTGTTTTCACCACCGCCAAAGAGAAGCAAACTTATGAATCATGGAAGCGCAGGTCCGCCACCACTTAATGAACGAGTCATGTTGTATGTGCGACAAGAAAATGAAGAAATTTACACACCCTTACATGTTGTGCCTCCGACCACGCAAGGACTTTTGAACGCTGTAAGTGCTACAAGTCGCAATAGGTTAACGCTTTAGCTTTAATTTTGCTTACAGGGTTTCCAGGACTTTAATTTCCCGCATATTTTTAAATAAGTTTTTTGGAAAAAAATAAATTTTTAAGTTAAATCAGGCAATTATTCAGAAATGAAAAAAAAAAAATATAAAAACAATACTCTTCTCGATATCAGAGAGTAGTTAGTTATGATTCTTTTTTTACTTTCTAGCCGTTAAATAAGCAAAACATACATTTTTGTAACTTGTCTTAAGTACATGCCTAGTTCTCATTAAAATTGAATTCTCAAACAAACATTTAAGAATCAAAACAAAAAATGACCCTGGAAGCCCTGTGCTTAAAATGCATGGACCTGGACGTACTGGGCTTTTAATATTAAAACACATGTCAAACACGGTTTAATAACAAAACTAAAAGGCGGCATGTGTACGATAATAATTAACCACACAGGCTCAAATTCTGATCAATACCAGCAAATTCAAAATTTTTATACAGACATTATTTGACTGTAAATACCTTCAGTTTTTTATTTGCTGCTCAAGCAAAAAAAAAAAAAAATAAAATAATTGCCATAGTTGAAACAGCTTCGGCTTTGTCCTAGGAAACAGCTCCCATTGATTTCAAACTGGTTAAAAGTGATGCATATATTTGAATTGACCAATTTGGATTTCCAAAGTAATACACTCAAATACTCTTATCCACTTTGAAACATCTTAGGATTACTTGCTAGAACAATGCTCACATCCATAGCAAAAACCAGATAGGAATTTGGGCCAAAAGAATCAATTCAAGTTCCAACGTGAAATCAGTTCACTTTTTCGACCTCCATGTCTAAAAAATAAAAAAAGCTCAGTACTTCTTCTAAATCAATGCTAAATCAAGAAAGACAGAAAAACTTTATTAGAAATATTTTTCACAGAAAAAAAATTAATTCTGTTTTCCTTATTTTGCAGATTGAGAATAAGTACAAAATTAGCGCTTCAAGCATTAATAATTTGTATCGCAAAAACAAAAAAGGGTAAGTTTTATTTTGAAACAATTTAAAAAAATAATTGTTAGCGGAGTAGTTGTAAAGAAGTGAACTGGACACTTGGTCTAAGGCCCAGTATTATAGGTTTTAGTGAGAAACCACAAATTAACTGGTGAAAAGGGCACCTGTTGAGAATTAACCAAAACAACCTATAAAACTTGGCGTAAGCACTAACAGTTCGCATTTTACTAACTACAATATGATTTGAAATGAAAAAACACACATTAAAAAGATATTTGAGGGCTATATAAACAGCAAAATTCATATGTTCACTAAACTTTGTAGTAGACTTGTTCCTTATGAATGTTACAGTTACAACTTGGGCCAAAAAAAGAGCCGAAGAAAAACCTTCATTTTATTTCCTTTGACAATCTGCCCATGAAATTATTGAGAGCAAAACAATTCAATGCACATTTCATCTCTGTATTATAAATTTCACCAAACTGCTTTACCTACTTGCAGTTGCATATTAGAATTACATCCGGAGCTTCGACGCGTTAGTTGTGCTTCTTGCAAAACTGATCAGGGCATTGTTGGGTTGTTTCTGTTGGTTATTCGCAAAAGCTGCATGATATGTCAGTCTTTGCTTTACCTATCATTTTCAGGTGATATTTTACTGCTCAGTGAGCGGGCCGGCAACTGTTCTAATGTCTTTACTGTTCATGTCGAGAAGTTGTTTAGATATTTTTTCCTGCAACTGCCTCTAAAAATAAAATTTTTCACACGCTAGGCAATCTCTGAAAATAGACTTTTTCACACAGCGTAATTTTGCCCAGAGAAGTGTGACAGCTATGTTCTCTTCAGTCGTCATTGTTCGGCTGTAGATCACAGCTCCATAGGCCTTTTCAGAGGCGTCGCAGAATCCGTGAAGTTGAATTAGGTTTCCTTGGCTGAATTGCATCCATCTTGAAATTCTGATATCTCCGACTTTATTTATGTCCTTTCTAAAGGTTATCCATCTGTCTGCTAGTTCACCTTCTATTTTCTCGTCCCATCCTAATCTTTCTAGCCATGTCTTGTATGAGTACTTTTGATTTGATGACTATAGGTGATAACCATCCTAAAAGGATCGAAAATTTTTAATATCTCTGATAGGATGTGCCTTTTTGTTATTAGACTCTCTGGTGATGTGGTAACTTTAAACATGAAGTTATCGTCACACGGCGACCAAAATACACCAAGTTTGAATGTCATCTTCGGATTATTCTTGGACGGTTTGGTTTTGTTACGATTTAGGAAGGGCTTGAAGCAGGGCTGTATTGTTACTGGTCCATTTTCTGAGATTAAAACCAACAGATTGCATCATCTTGAGTAATTGTTGTTGAATTTCTATTGCCGATTCTAGGTCATTGGCACCTGACAGGACATCATCTACGTAAGGTGATTTTGCTTGCAATAGGATACTTTGTTTCTTCAGATTTTGCTTATGTTTGTAAAGTCTTAATGGCTAGGTATGGTGCAGATACTGTTCCATATGTGACAGTTTTTAGCTCGTATTCAATCATTCGGTGTTCGCTGTCAGATCGCTATAAAATTATCTGGTGTTGTTCTTCTCGATAGATTTTTATCTGTCGATACATTTTTTCGATATCGGCTGTAAAAACTACCTTATGCTGCCTCCATCTTAGCAGGATTTCAGATAGATTCTGTTAGAGTCTTGGACCAGTAAGCATCAGATCATTTAAGCTAACATTGGATGTTGATTTACTGGAAGCATCAAAAACAACTCGTAGTTTTGTGGTTGTACTGTCCATTTCAAATACTGCTTGGTGTGGTACACTGAGAAAATTTTTTCATTGTCATAGCTAATTTTTCTGCTGCCGTAGCCAAAAATTTTGGCTACATAGGGGACAGCCAAGATCTTTACTACCGCCGAAAAGATAACTTTACTGGCACCGTTTATTTTCGGTAGCAAAGTGACTTTATAAAGAATTTACTCACAGTTTCTACAAGGTCACTTTGCTGGCATAGAAAAGCTACTTTGCTGTCGTAGGAAAGTAACTATGCTGTCCTAGAAAAGAGGTTATATACCCTCAAAAACATCCTTTTTTGCTATTGAAAAGTAGATTGCTAAGACAGAAAAGATATTTGTTGTTGTTATTAGAAATGCTTCCTGAAATAGGAAAGCGTTTGTCTCAGAACAAAAAATTTCTTGCCAGAATCAGCCAAGTGTTTTATTAGCCATGGGAAGTTATTTGTCTCACCAATAGCAAAAATATTTTGCTGGAAATCTTTGGAAACATGTAGTAGCGCGTCCATCATAACAAAACCAGGAGATAAATAAACTCTATTTAAACCCCTAAACTTTCATTACCTGATCTGAAATAATGTCAATTAATGAAAAGTTTGGCGCTAGAGTTGTTTCTGCTAGTTTTGATGGATGCGCTGGCACCATTTCCAAAAAGATTCCCAGCGACCGACACTCGACTTGACTCGACAGCATCCACGATCCACACCGTACGGCGTTAGCTACTAAACTAAAATGGAAGAAAATGAACACGAAACATATTTTATCGGTTATTTTTGGACCCGAAGAAATCACGGAAATGTCCGAACGGTATTTTTAGTTAAGTTATTTGGCTAGGGTAGCAAAAAACATTACTGTAACAATAACAAAAATTACAGGAACTTGTTTTTGCTGCGACAGTAAAGTATCTATCTATCTTAGAAAAGTTCTATTTCGGAGAAGCAGAAATATTTTCATAAAATTTTAATTTTGCTATAACAGCAAAGTTTGGTTTTGGAATAAGGAATATCTTTGCAGTTTCAATAAAGTAGTTTCAGCAAAGTGGTCTTTTCTGTAGAAGCAAAATAACATTGCTACCTCTAAAACATTTTCCACTGTAACAGCTAAAAAAAAACCAGCAAATAATTTTCTCCTGGGACTTTTCTCAGTGTATGTAGTATCTGCCTTCATGAAGATTTTGAAATGATACTTTTTTCATGTGCCCTAATTTCAAATATTCATCCATGAATTCATCGTATTGTTCTTTAAGGCAAGGTTCTCTCAAAAAACAAAAATAGAGTTTTTCACACACCGTGCGAAAAAGTTTTTCACACGCTGCTGATTAGTATTTTATTCACTTTGGCCCTATCATTGTCACCAATTTTGATGTTGATGATTTGTTTTCTAACAAATGATAATTAAATATTTTGTTGCTTTATGTTGCACTTGTAGAAAAAGCATTGTGAAAAACTCGTTTGAAAACTTTTTTTCCTACACCTGCCCTGAAAATGGACTTTTTCACACGCTAGGCATCCTCTGAAAATAGAGTTTTTCGCACGCTGCTTATTAGTTTTTTATTTATTTTGGTCCTATATCGGGACATGATATGACATGAATTGCGATTGTCACCACTTTCTGATGTTGATGATTTATTTTCTAACAAATAAAAATTACATATTTGGTTGTTTTATTTTGCAGTTGTAGGATTGTAAAAAACTCGTTTGAAAACCTTTTTTTCACACTCGCTCGACTTGTGGAACTTGCCTACGGCTCGGTCCAATTAACTGTCTCGGCCGGGCGAAAAAAGTCGTTTTCAAAAGTTGTTGTTTAAATAACTATTGCTGCGTCAAATAACTCGAATATGAACCTTTTGGCCTTTCTCAGAACCCGAGCGGATTTTCAATGAGTTTTCATACTTTTACCATATGTTCAGTTCTATGAGGTGACTCTTAATTAGTTCACAGAATGTCTCCGAGTTCTACTGTATTCCGATTAACCAGATTTCATAACTAACTGTAACATTTGAAAAAACAACTCTAACAAGTTTCGGTTAAAAAAAAAATACATTAATACCTAACTAAACTCCCTTTTTACTTTTTTATAGCATTACCGCCAAGATTGATGATGATATGGTAGCATATTACTGTAACGAAGACCTGTTTTTATTAGAGCTCAAAGCTGTCGACAAGGATCTATATGACATAACATTTGTGGAACTAATGGACCACTAGAAAATATGAAAATATTTAAACTGATATTATAAGGTACTTCTCTTATTCACGTACTTATTCTAATTTTTTGTGATTGTTTTTTATGCATTCCGAGCAAATGTGTAAAATTTTATTATTAATTGTTAATAATTTGATTTTTCTAATAACTCTATTTTGATTTTTATGAGTAAACTAAGTTGTTGTTAGATTTTTCTTGTTTGTTTATTTTTTTATTAAATTGACTTGGTCAAAATATTCCATATTTTAAAAGTTTAAGTTTAAAAGGTGGCAATGCTTCTTTTATTTTGGTTTTATAAAAAGTTATGTAGGTATTGTGTTTGAGTACAATAATAAAATGCCACAAAAGTTTACTAGGTTAATTTTCAAATGAAAGAAAAGAACATTATACTTTATTTTGTCCTTTGGGTATATATTCTTATGTAGGAAGTTCCGTAAACTTAATTTAAAAAATATTGTTTTACAGTATTTAGAGAGATTTTTCATTAAATGACAGAATGTATTTCTTTTTTTTGAACTTATACGTGTTGGCCAAAAAATTTCGTCAAACTCCGATATTTGCAGTATACACTGAGAAAATAAATGTCAAACTATAAAAATAAGCATACCTACATTGCAGAGACTAAACAAAGGATTTATCAAGTAGGTATGTACCTACCTAATAGTTAAATTCTTGCAATAGTATTTTTGAAGTGTAGGGCTACTCATACTAGGGCTTCTCAGTTCCGAACTACTGCAAATATGGAGATTAAGCTGAAAAGCTATAAAATATAATTCAGAAAATTGATTAGGAAGGCATAGAGAATTTCGACAAATTTCGCATTTTATTATTGTCAATTCCTATTAAAAAAACAAGTGGCAAATGGGATAATTATTGATGTAATAAGACAAAGCAATATTGTTAATTAACAATAAGGTACAGTCTACTTCATCAAAAGATAACAAACCAAATAATAATTATAATATCTTCATACAATCAAACAATGTACTTAATGCCATATTTTAATTTTAATCTATTAGGAACAAATATTTGGTGATGATAACTTTTGTTGGTGATTGTACCTTCACAAGCCCATGAAATGATCTCAAAATTAAAATATGTATATGTTTTAGTAATGTGAACATCACATTTTTTATGCAGAACCTATAAGTTCTGTGTTGAAGAACAATATTATAATTTTAAAAGCATCCATTTTATTTTGTATATAGTCTTAGTTTTTTTATTTTACTTATATTGTATATATAATAACAAGTTTTAATGTAAAAAAAAACACCTGTGGTGTTGTGATAAGAACTACCTACCCATTTAAATGATATAAAAATGAAGAATGTACACAAAGGTTTATGGTTTTAATAAGTTTTGCCTTGGTGTCTACATGATAATTATTGTATTTCTTTTAAATTTTATTAAGTGCCAAATTTTTATTTAATTTTTTCAAATTTAAACTTTGTTTCAAAAGAGATTTATTGATAAAGTTTTTAGAAATCCTTGGAAAAATAATCTCATTTAAGTTTTCAAAAAAAAAATTCACTGAATATGAACAAATTAAGTGGTACCTGATATGCTTTATGTAATTAATTTGTTTAATTTAAGGTATACAAATATTTTACAAAGACGTTTTGAAGTATCAAAATTTATTAGAGAATCTATATAAGCTTCAAAGGTACAATTCTTCAGATATCTCAAAATCTGGATTATCTTTTTTATTTGTTTTTATTGGTTTTTGTTCTGGTCTTATTGAAGAAAAAAGATTTGTAATTGTAGATGTCTATTTTATAATTTATTCCACAGGTACAACCATTATAGTCAGTTGTACTTTATTCCAATGTAATTTGATATTATTTTTTAGCTTAAGATGGCTCTCTGTATCCAAACTTTAGACAAGGTTGTTTTAGTTAATTTCTAAGCAACGACTTTGCCAACATCGGCTTAAAACAAAGTTGGTCGTGTTGGCTATATCCGCAATATTAATTAGGTTTTTTTATAAATGTACGACTTGATTTTTATAAATAAATATATTATATATTTTATTTTGTATGTTTTTTATGTTCCAATTATTCTTACTAGGTATAAGACCTGAAATATTTTTCAAACATGTAGGTAAGAATGTATCTACATTTCATTTCTTATTAGAGCCTGATGTAATAACAGTCAGTATGAATAATAATTCAAATATTTTCTCAAAATCCTGTGACAATTAAGTTCCACTACATAAATTAATTGAAGTTTTTGGATTTCTATTTGTTACTTGTGCATTTATTTATGCAAACCGACGCGACATACCTACGTTTTTGTAATCAAAGCACTCTCTAATTTAGTTTTTTTAAGACCCCTTACCTAGTCTATAAAAATAAAAAAAGAACACTCGGAATATACCTAGGCATAAGTAATAACTTTAGCTGCCTTATTAATAGATATCGCTTTAGTAGTCTCCTAGTACGCTATACTAACTGAGGTACTACTATGGCACTAAAAGTATCCTATAATAATAATAATAATTTATTTAGTAGCCACTAGTTAGTTTTATGTTAGCAGCAAAGTAGATATGGCAACGGGGTGATAAGACAGGTACTCCGTTTAATACTGGTAACTCCAAAAACTTCACTCAGCAACACCTTGGTAAAAGATGCAAGTCGGAAGGGAGTTGTTTTTGAGCTTTTCGTGTTTCTTACAAAGTTAATTGTGTTTGAAATATTAGTAAACTGAACGACCTATTTACACTTGGATTGACATTAGATGAGGTGGAACCATGGACGGCAGCTCAAAGTGTACCTATCTTCTATAGTCTGAATTAGATATACCCATTTTTAATGACGTAATTTTTGTTTATTTGTTACAATTCAAACAGCGGTGGGAACAAATTAAAAAAAAAAACAGAGAAAACACATAGTCTCAAAGACGTTTTTGGGTCTGCATTACGTCTGAAGACAGGAAAAAAAATGTCTAGAAGACGTTGTTCTGAAGACGTCCATAAGATGTCGTAAATTCACATCTTAAAGACAACTGAGCCCAACTATTTGGAACTACCGTGCCTAAAAGTGAATAATGGTTTATGATCAGAAAGAGATTCAATGACGTAATTAAAACATTTCGTTGAAGACGTCTTTAGGCAGCGTCTGAAAGACGTTGGGTTTTGGAACATACGACGTCTTTAAAACATCTCTTTGAAGTCGTGTTTAGAATGTCTTAGTCGTAAAGACGTCTTAGGCAGACGTCTGAAAGACGCTGGGTTTTGTAACATACGACGTACTTAAGATGTCTTTAAGACGCCTTAAAAACGTAAGCAAAGCGTCTTGAATGTCCTTTTTGCACAACTTAGGGACGTCTTTAAGATGTTTATAAACATTTCCCACAGAATTATTTTCTCATTCAATTTAGAAGTTACTGGAAACCAGAATGCTACAGAACACTTTAGAACTTTGATAAGCCTTTTGGAAAATTCAAAACACTTACAAATTCATTTCAGAATTTCCATAAGCATTCTGTACTGCTTCAGAACATTTTGGAAATTTGAGAACCATTTTAGAATGCCCCAAGACATTCAAAAACCGATTTACAATTTCCAAAAGCATTTTAGAAGAATTAAGACCCATTTTGGAATCTCCAGAAACATTTTGAAAAGCGCCAGAATCTTAGGATTCAGGTTACAAAATGCCTTTCAGAAGGCTTTCAAGAGCGAATTTAGATTGCTGTAGAACTTAAGACCTTTAATAAGCATCCAAAATAGTTCAAATCCAAATAAGAATTTTCAGGAGCATTTTGGAACAATTTAGAAACTTCAGAGTTACCTATTTTAGAACAATTAAAATCTGTCTCGAAGATAAGATAATAGTCAAAATGACATCATGTTGGCAATACAATATGTAAAATTTATAATGCTTTCAAATTTTTCACGTGAAAAAGGCTTTTGTTGCCAACGTAGTTACTAAATTTTTGACTTGGGGAATTATACAGTGTGTCCCAGATTCGCTTATCTATACAGCAGCGGTTCCCAAACTGGGGGGCGCGCCCCCCTGGGGAGGCGTGAAGCAACATTGAGGGGGGCGTAAGTCTTCTAAACAATTAAAACAAATTTTAAGCTTAAAAATAAAAAAATCAGGTGAAATTTTAAAAAAGATGTCTACAATCCTACAACTGCGCATACATAAGCCAAAGCAGCTATGCCATGCGATCTGTTACTGTATTCCTTTTACCCGTTGAGTTACTCGGAGCTCCTTAGTGTCTCGGACACGAAGACACAAAAATCCTCTAATCCCTTATTCTGTTTACATTTTGACAGCTGAATTGAGTGATCTAACTCAACTTTTTTTTACTTGTTTGCCAACTTTTATTTATCCTGAAGATTCCTGAGTTTCAATCAGTAATTTTTCCTTGGTGTTTTTTATCGAGGAATTATTAGAAGTTGCTGTTCTTACAGACGAAAATGGAGCGTAAACTAATTTTGACATAGCATAGCGTTACGGTAAGGCATCCGTTAACTCTCGTTTGGCAGCGGGCGGCTCCGCTAACGCTAATACCGTAAGAACTGTCATACTTGTCAAATAACGTTACGGTATTTCAAATTTGGACAGCACCAGAACTCTCTAATATCTGAATTATTCTGAATTGTGTGTTTTGGAGTGACTCCGAGGAGCTCTAGAGCGACACGTTCGGTGTAACTCGATGTATAAAAGGAATATAGTAATTGCTACAGCGCACGCTCGCTGCCCACTGTCATCTCCATTCTTCCTCTGCCAAAGTCCAGTTCAGAGGAGTTACAGTAAGTAAAAAAAAATGTTTTTGTATAATGGGGGAAGAAAGGGGGGCGCGAACACTTCTTGATTTCAGAAAGGGGGCGCAAAAGAAAAAAGTTTGGGAACCACTGCTATACAGGGATCTCGGCTCCTATTATACCTACAGCAAAGGTTAAATGGGGAAAGTTTTAGAGGAAGCTAAGTGCATTCAATAATCGGCTTCAGAATAACGATCGCTCGCTCAATTAGATTTGGAAATATCGGCGAAAAACCGAAAATGACGGATTTCGTTTTCTGCCAGTTAACCCGAAACGGTTAATTTGACAGCTGTCAAAATGTGACATTATTCAGACACTTTTTCAAGACCAATGAGATAGCGTGCATGACAGGTCTCAATCGTCTTTGATTATCCCGCAACCCGCCTCAACTTCCATTTTCTTATGACCGCCATATTGGATTTTACGATTTTTGAAAAAAGCATAGAATTTCCAGTCTAGTGATGTCTCACAAGTGGATAAAAGATTTGAGCATCATCGAAAAATCACACTACGTAAAGTTAATGTCTGGCCAACGATTCTGAGGCTACGGGGCATCGGTGAAGGAAATGCAGTTGTAAAAAAAATGGGGGTACTTTATTCATAAACTACTTACCCAGCTGCGTACGGAACTTCTCGGACGTATAATATCGTATTGCAACTCGTCCACGAAAATCGACAATGACCAAACCACCACCACTGGATATTTCAATGTAAGTCGATATTTCAAGATGGAAGGATAAAATTACGGGTACCCTGGGTAAGAGCGAAACGTAAGCCCCATGACAGCCGCATGGTTCCCCATGGCAACGGCGTTCCAAAATCTCCACCAATCACGTTCATCCAGGACGGATGTTTGCCAAATGGACAAAAGCTAATGGTTTGTTTAGAAAATGTTTTCTTTTGAGAATAGACAGAATAGATCTATCTCACATAAATAGAAAAAGAGAGCTAAATTGTGATAAATACAAGTTAGAAAGTAATAAAAGATGACATGCGCGCGCAACTTATGGCTACAGTGTAGCCAGATTGTATTGTTGCAGAACAAATGTAGATAATACAAATCGAACATTATAACATTGAAGAAGTGATATTTTAGTGTCAAGTGTTTTACAACGCCTCAAATCAGACAAAGGAAGAGCTTTAAAGTGTAGGTATGTAAACATCGTTTGCACTTTTATTTTATGATAAATAATAGGTCTGTTTCTGCAGAAATCACAAACCAGTCGGAGCGAATTTCATTGGTTGAAAACAGTCAGAAACAGTCAGAAAACTAGTGTCAACCAATGAAATTCACTCTGACTGGTTTGTGATTTCTGCAGAAACAGACCTATTATTTATCATAAAATAAAAGTGCAAACGATGTTTACATTCACTTTATTAAAGCTCTTCCTTTCTCTGATTTGAGGCGTTGTAAAACACTTTACACTCAAATATCACTTCTTCAATGTTATAATGTTCGATTTGTATTGTCTAGATTTGTTCTGCAACAATACAATCTGGCTACACTGTAGCCACGAGTTGCGCGCGCATGTCACGCATGTATTTAATAAAAAGACAGACTTCAGGATTCAATTTAGAACTGGACACCTTCTAGAACTCTTTTGAACCAATTTAGAACACTTTGGATCTTCAATGTAGGGCTCTAAAATACTTGAAAATCAGTTCTAAAATGCTCCAGAACTCTTCAAGTCAAGTTAGAACACTTTAGAACTTCAATAAGCCATTTAGAACTTTCCAAAACACTTAGCAGCAGCATTTTGAAAGGCTTTAGAACAATTTGAAAACCTCAGAATTATTTCAGACAGCCTAGCGCCTGGGAAAAGACAAAAACTGAAAGTTATAAAATGGGTAATAATAAGGAAATACATATTAGCAAGAAACTGTTTCTGTTTCAATTCAAATTCTTTAATTTTTATAATTTTTCCTATTCCCGGCTCTTGATTTTTCCCTATTTCTTTATTCTGAATTAATAACTTTCTTTTGGTTCTTGAATTTTTTCATTCCAAGTTCTTGAATTCTCATTATTCCCGTATTTTAGGATTTCAGGCTTTTGATTTGTTTTTAATTTTTACTCCTGGCTCTTCTAAAGTTTTTCTCCCAAAATGAGTTATGTGTATGTTTTCGTTCAAAATAAATCAAGAATTTAGGACAAGAATTGGAAGTTATAAATGAGTAATAATAATGAAATATTAGCCCTGAAGACGCCTTCAGGCAGACGTTTAAAAGACGTTGGGTTTTGTAACATACGACGTCTTTAA